GTGTAAAGTATTATATTACTAAGCGTTCTTTCTGTTTAATGTGTGTTTAACTTGTTATTTCTACGGTTTTCTGTTTACAGGGTCTTCGTTTTCGTAGTACGAAAATACCGGGGTCTTCGTTTTCGTACTACGAAAACGAAGATCGGGTCTTAGGTCTTAGGTCTTCGTTTTCGTAACACTTCCTCTACCCCACCCCCTCAAATATGTGCTATATGGTCAAAACATTTGAAAGTGACGTTTCATCGATCGTTTCACTTGTAAAAACTAACCAAAGCGATGAGCTAGATTGTATTTACACGTTAATAGAAATGGTTGTGCGCTACAATAAATTGTCCAACGAGTCATACCAAAAATTTTTTTACAATGAAAATCCAAGTCCGAGAGGATCTTCCAACGTGTCAAGAAATATATAGAACTGTGGTCTCCTAGGGTTTCCCGTTCTGAGAATTTTACATTTACGTCGAGAAATTGATGAAGATTTTACTGCTAGAGTTTTCAAATGATTTTCAATAGCCCGTAGTACTTCTGCAAAAGCAGTAGCTAGAGATTCCCACTCGATCCCATCTTGCTCAATGCCAGTTAAGGCAATAGAACTCAAAAGACTAACGGTTCGATCGAGAACTACAGATTGTGTTTGCAAGTCATTGATATCCGTTTCATCATTATGTAGACACTGCTCTGTTCTTTCGAGCACTGACGATAAAAATTCAGGTAAGTTTTTTTTTCACGTCAAATTCTGGCTCTACGTCCGCCATGATGCTAGTTAAACTTACCGCGCGAAAACATAAAGCCTGAAAGTTCCCGTATGCTAGTTGTCATTTCCGGTCACTAGCCGGAAGGAATTTTGACTGTATTTTTTTTCATTGAATTGAAATTGAATTTCACTGATTTGAAATTGAATTTTATTGAATTGAAATTGAATTTTCATTGAATTGAACTTGAATTTTCCCTGAATTGAACTTGAATTTTCATTGAATTGAAATTGAATTGAAATTGAATTTTATTGAATTGAACTTGAATTTTCATCGAATTGAACTTGAATTTTCCCTGAATTGAACTTGAATTTTCATTGAATTGAAATTGAATTTCATTGAATTGAACTTGAATTTTCATTGAATTGAACTTGAATTTTCATTGAATTGAACTTGAATTGAAATTGAATTTCATTGAATTGAAATTGAATTTTAGTATTAATTGAATATTGCTACAGTTGGCTTGTCATACTCGACTCAGAACGACAAGAATCACTTCAGACTTTTTTTGATGATGAAATAAGGAAAGATGAATCCTTTCCAGTTCTTACATACTCTTCTACCCTACAGAAAGAAAGAAGAAACATTCTGATAAGATCGCGAACAAAAGCAAATAAGAGGGTTGCTATGGTTACTAGTCCTTGTTACTCCCAAATAAAACTTTGATTTACATTGTAAAATCGAATGAAGTTTCCCAATAAATCATCAATAAACCATTTTTACTTCTTAAAAAGTCAACATTCCACTATCATGTAAATAATCGATTCTCTATATAGAGATTTTAGTAAGCAGTCCACACATACTCGATTAACTATGGTCCACTCGTCAGCGAAGCTCCGAAGCGACTACAACTCAATACTTATCAAGCATTTAATGGCGACTTCAGAAACAGTTTTATGACTTTTGGATCGATAAAGAAATTTTAAGCCGTACTTAATTCTTTTTAGCATTAAAATGCGTAATTTGGCTGTCGCTAAGAATGAAAGAATCCTGAACCTACCGCCGGCTTACAAGTTTCGTCTTAGTCTTCAAGCCATTTGAGCCAGAGTTTTAACCCATCTACTTTTAAATTACTTGGGTCTCTTTCAGCAAGGGAAGAACCCGGAATATCCGCTTCCGTAAGCGTAGAATTGCTCATATTTCAGTCTAAAACAGTTACTAATAACTCACATCTCTCTAAAACTTCTGAATAGTCACACTTGTGCAAGGCTGACCGACCTCGTTTTGGTGCAAACTCGTTACCAATCCCTACAGAAGAATGCTCGTTTTGAATAGCGTGTATTTGACTTTAAAAAAGCATTTGATCTTATTGATCATGGGATACTGGTCCAAAAGCTTCGCCTTTTTGACATTCACGAAGCTGTCATCTCATGGATTACTGACTTCCTACGTTGCCGAAAGCAGTGAAACTTGGTCAAGATTGTTTTTCAGAGTGGCGTGATGTACCGACGGGGGTCCCCCAAGGCACCTAATTATAGGCTATTCATAATTAAGATCAATGACCTTGACATCCCAGGTTTTGATCTATGGAAGTATGTTGATGATTCTACGATCTCTGAAATAATACCTAAGGGACAAGCAAGCAACATCCAAATCGCTGTGGACGCCTTTGGTTCGCGTGCTGCTTCGGACAAGTTCCAGCTGAACGAGACGAAGTGTAAGGAAATGAGGATTTCTTTTAGTACAAAAGAGACTCTCGATCCTATTGTTATAATGACAAGCAAATCGATATTGTTTCGCGTGCGAAGATCTTTGGTGTAAATGTTTCGAGCGACTTAAACTGGAACCATCATATTGACGAAGTTGTTAAGAAGGCTAGGAAACGCCTGTTTTGTCTCTCTCAGTTAAAGCGCTCAGGTCTAGGTTCTGATGACTTAGTACAGTTCTATCGTAGCTGCATTCGCCCTATTACTGAATATGCCTGCCCAGTCTTTCATGAAAGTCTACCTGTGTATCTTTCTCGTGAATTGGAAGCAGTACAAAAGAGGGCGATGCGTCTTATTTTTCCATGTATTCTTTATGACGAGGCGCTAGTTTAGGCAGGACTTGTAACTCTGTCAAGCAGAAGACAAGCCCTGACGGACAAACTTTTTAGGAACATTTTGGAAAACAAATACAGTAAGCTTAAGAATTTACTCCCCCAACAAAATACCAAGTGTACCTCAGAAAGTCACGCATGTTCAACCCGGTGTTCAAGACTTAGAGATTTCGTAAAGACTCATTGTTTCAAATGCACCTAATGCATAAGATTTCTGATTCCATATTTTAATGGTTTGCGCTTGTAGATCTAGTTTTAATCTCTTTAATTATGTAGTGATTTATATAAATATATATATATATATATATATAACATTAAGTGACTAGAAGGAAACACACATGATTCGCTGCAACTCTGAGTCTCGTGCGTTAAGCACTCATCAGGCGTGATTGACCTGTTTCTATCCGTTGGTCAAGTTAGGTCGCTTTGTTCGGTTCCTTTGTAATGTTGCCACCCGTTGAGGGGAGTCTGTTAGTAAACCAGCTTTCCAAAGTGAGTCGTAAAAAGTAGTTAGTGCTGTAGGTTAGGCTTTGTGCAGAGTCGCAGTCTATGTTGTGGTACGTAAGTCGATGATGTTCCGCAATGTGATTGTTGACATCACCATTCCTCATTCCCCTTTTGTATTCAGTCAGTCTTGTTGCGAGATTTCTACCAGTCTCTCCAACATAGAAGGCTTGGAAGTCGGAGCAATTGATCTTATAAATCGCTCCCTGCCTGTTCCTCGGTTCGTCATTGTCTTTAAGGTTGGTTAGTAACTGACGTAGTGTAGTGATGGGTTTGTGGGTGACGCGGATATTGAAGGGTTGTAGGATGCGCGTGATGTTCTCAGACATGTCTTTTATGTACGGTGTGATTGCTGTAGTCGTAGGAATTGCGGTGTCACTGGAGACACCATGGCTGTGCCGCGTAGCTGTTTGTAGTGTTTACCCTTGTACTGAAAGTAAGTTGACGTTAGGCAAAGGTTCAGTAAGTCCATAATGTCGTCTGTCGATAGCGGTGGTGGGTCGGTAGATTGTCGGATTGCAGATAACTTGGCAAGCGAGGCAATGAAGCTGAAATAAGCCGCTTTCATGATGAAAGTTCTCCGGGCATTGAGCAAATCACTATTTTGCTTGATTTACTCTAAATCCTTCAAGAAATTTTTGGTTCTACTTTGTAAAAATGATACAAAGTGATAATATCATAGAATTAACTATTTTTCTTCTTCGATAACCCGTCCTGAGGGGATTCGGGCCCATAGGATCCACTAAGGATAAGTATCAAATCATGAGTTAACCCGTCTGAGATATAGTAATTCAGCCGTCTCCGCTTTTTTCAGTTCTGAAACGTTTAATAATCCTTAACAGATCTCAAAAATTATAAATAAATTTTGACTTCTGTATGAGGTTTGGCTTTTTAATTTGCACAAAATGACGTTTCGAAACTTCCTCCTGTTAATACACCCGAAAGAAATTTCAAACTGTCTTTTAAACCCTGCTGTTCATCCATGTTGTAAATGAGTATAAATTCCCAATAATTTTTCAGTTTAGTTCAGAAAGAAATCTTGTACTGCAAACCCAAGTCCCTAACAGTCGTTACTACATTGTGATTCACTCAACCTCGTTCCCAGTGCCTTTTCCACCCCCAGCTAAGGGAAAATGCCCTGAGGACGATGTTGTGATTCACTCTGTTATTTGACGAAAACTTTATTTTCCTTTCAATTTTAACAGTCCGATCAGGAAGCCGGTGTGATGAACAAGACGATCATGACTAATAACAGGATCAGAGCTTCTAACGTTAATGCATTGCAGGCGAAGTTTTCATTGGAACGTGATCTGCACTTATTTAACTAAAAGAATCGTGTCTGGGATTTGCATTAAAACGCGTATGTTTTTCAGCCATTTCAAAGCAACTCTTTTTAGCAAGGTTTTAATTGTAGATGCTTTATTTCAAAAAGTATAAAAAACCCAAAAATTACGACGCATTCATCTGATTACCATTTCAGCTTTCTCGAGTAAGCTTCATTCAGATTTCTAAAACAAAGAGTACTGTAATTGACACAGGAGCAGGTAAAAATGATTGAGCATACTGCAAGTAGCCAAGTTCGCCAAGGTGTAAAGCTAATGTTTGAAAATGTAATTATAAGAAGTTAAACAGAACAGTTCAGGTACAGCTATTTAGATTGGGAACATCATCAAACTTTGTCTTTAAAACGGAATTCTCTGCTTAACTTAGGTTATTGTACGAACTGCTTTTTCCATGTGATCATCGTAATGCTTTTGCAGAGAGTCCTCAATACGAAATAACTTCTGACAAATCCAGAAGCTAAACTCTCTACCCAAATGTACTTTGCTAGTATGAAGAGGGCTTTTAGCTCGGCCAAAGGAATTGTCATAAACCTTACACTTAAAAGGCTTTTCTCCAGTATGTACCCTGTTGTGACGGCTAAGATTTCCTGCTTGACTAAAGCGCTTATCACAAATCTTGCACTTAAAAGGCTTTTCTCCCGTATGTACCCTTTGATGATATCGAAGATATCCTGCTTCGCTAAAGCACTTATCACAGACCTTACACTTAAAAGGCTTTTCTCCAGTATGTACCCTGTTGTGACGGCGAAGATTTCCTGCTTCACTAAAGCGCTTGTCACAAATCTTGCACTTAAAAGGCTTTTCTCCCGTATGTACCCTGTTGTGACGACGAAGGGTGTCAACTCGGGCAAAGGACTTGTCACAAACCTTACACTTAAAAGGCTTTTCTCCAGTATGTACCCTGTTGTGACGGCGAAGAATTCCTGCTTGACTAAAGCGCTTGTCACAATCCATGCACTTTAAAGGCTTCTCTCTCGTGTGTATCATGTGATGATTGCGAAGGATTCTTGCTTGGCTAAAGCCCTTGTTGCGAGCATTGCTTTTCATCGTCCTTTCATCCGAATGAACTTTGATAAGTTTGCGAAGTTTTTGTGCTATACCAAAACATTTGTCACGATGGAGGCATTGAATGTTTCGCTATAATCCTTTTTACTGTTCTTGTCTGTAACAGAATAACAATAAGAAGGTTTATTAGTAATGACATTTGATTCATAATGGTTTTAATTCTGAGCACTTTTGGAGTTGAACCATGGGAAGAGTCGTAAACTGATGGATGATATATTCCGAGGGGGCAAATATCTACAGAAGCTGTAGATAGTGGAGGGGAAATATAGATTGTAGATGCGATCAGGATAATCTTTTAACTCCACTTTAGGATATCTCTGTTATCCACTGGGAAATGACATTAAACAAAGTACATCTAAGCTGTCAAACAAGTTCAACACTCAAATCTTCCTCTTGCAATGAATGCAAGTGAAGATTTCTAAACTGTATTGCATATTCTGTCCATAGTTCAAATCAGAGTGAAATATTTTTTTCCCTTAAACGCATTCTTAGCCTGAGCACAAAAACCAAGAACCCATATCAGGATTATGATATCAGCTGTGGGCTCATACTTTCAGAATTATTTTTATCATTATTATTACTATCATTACAGATAATTATTAGTAACTTTACACCACAGAGTAATTCTTCTCTTTATTAAAAGCAACTAAATCAATAACATCAGTATCACAAAAACTGATCTCTATGTGCACCTTGAACCTTGGAGACTAACATAATTGTGTTGAGTACAAAACAAAATTAAAATGCAAAATAGAAGACTCCAAACATGATTTTGTTATGAACTTTTCCTATTGCAAAAGCGGGAGTGTAAAGAGTCAATGAGAACATTGTTAACACTTTCACTCCCAAGATGAAAAATTATTAGTAACTCTCCATTAATGTATGAAAGCTATCCTCGTAGTAATAAACCTTAATTATGTACTAGTGAAAATAAGGCCTGAAAAAAAAACTCAGGCCCAAACGGGATTTGAACCTATGACCTCTGCGATGTCAGTGCAGTCTTCTACCAACTGAGCTAACAAGCCAACTGGGAGCTGGTCCTTATGTTGGTTTGTATCAGGTTAAGCCCGTTGGAGTGATATAAATCAATGAATTTTGAATACATGAAAATTATGTATGTGTACTGCTGTTTCATGAAATGTATGAAAGGAATCCTCACAATAATAAACCCTACTGTTGTAGTAGTTTAGTAGTGTAATGTAGAACTAATATTACCAACCAACATAATGACCAGCTCGCAGTTGGCATATTTTCACTGCTTAAGTTATCTTGATCTAACACCAAATTCTCATAACTGATTTACCAGGAAATGTTTAGCAGCCAGGGAGGAGAGTTAACAATCAGAAGTTAATCCCTTAGCACTTTATCTCAAGAACATTTGACAGAGGAAATGTGCGAGGTCCAGGCAAGTTAAATAATCTTTTAAATAACCCGGTTAAACAAATAAACTTCAGATAAATAAAGTGTATTTCAGTTGAAACGGTGTGACTTGAATAACCTGGTGTAGGCATTGACTTCTTTCTGATCGCATTCTGGAACATTCGTTTTAAGAGAGAAAAACGTGTAGAAATAAATATGCGCTAACTGAGCGCTGAGTATTCGATACATTACTACACGATCACGATGCTGTACGTGCTAATGCGAAATGTTAAACATAGTCCAAACGATTATTCTAAATCGCGCCGTTTTTAAAATTCGCATTGTTGATGCTATTAACAAACAAAAAAGAAACCAAAAGCATGTAATACCACACATTAACTCTCGAAATTTAATTTAATAAACTCTCTACAAAACCTATTTATATGACGATCAAGATTCTCCACGAGCTCTCGACATTTGAGGGTTCGAACAATTATTATTCGAACCCTAAGTTACATTTTCTTTTTAGTCGTTTACATTAACAACTCAATCGGTTGGTCTTTTCTTTTGTTTTTTGGACAAATATTTCTGAATAAATAGAAGCTGAATTTCAGACAGCAGAAGAAAGCAAGTTTCTTTTGAACGTTTTAACGTTGCGTCTTGAGATAACATTACATTTGAGCAGATAGAAAATTTGTGAACAGGTAGTTAAACAGAAAACCAAGGTGCTTTAAATAAAAAGCGACTCGTAGACTAACACAAAAGCAGGCGAACATCGATCCGAATACAATTGACCAGCCTGGCTCTAACATCGTCAGACGAACAATTAAACGTTCCGGTAACAAATCCATTTCCTTTCGTGACCGTGCAAAGCATCTATTGCTCCCACTGTGTTTTGCAATTTCTCAAGGAAATATGTTTCACTGCCAGTTTTCTTTTCGTATCAAACTTTGCCTGTTGTTACGAGTTAATTTTATTTTTTAAGGACAATGGCACTATAGTTGTGATCCTCATTGAATGGCTTAAATTGCGTTCGGCAAGTGGTGTGGAGTTCTGGCGAGGATTTTTCGGGGGATAAACTTTTGCCTTTAGGAGATTTAGCTCAAGAGATATTAAAGACATAAATTGGGTCGCACTGACTTCAAAGGTTCAGTTGTAACGACCACTTGCTTCTTCGTCTACTCTGACTTTTCATGTTATGATTTTGAAACATTGAGAAAATTCCAGTTTAGCGCTTGCCTAGTAGCATTAATGTGTTAGCTGGCTTTGATGACTCTCGGCAAAAATCTTTCTAAAACTAACATACAACAGAACACGAAAGCAAACTAGTGCGCAGAACAAAGCAAAGTGAGATTTTATCACACTTTCTGTGTCATCAAGACTACCGCGATGAAGACGAAACAATGCTGCTTGGTAATTACCTAACTGTAAGAATTTTAATTGGCTTGATTCCTTCTGTTGCAGTAAGGTTCGATTATGTTCCTAAATAAAGGCTCTAAACTGCGAGCTTCTTATAGAGTGTTTCCGTCCAACTCCTGCGTGATTATGGGGCTGTATTCTGTAGTTTAGCCAAAACTAGAATAATTGGTAGTTGTTAGCAAAATGTACCTCACGTGATACCTCAACTATTCTGTATTCACAAACGAAATAGGAACCAGTTTCTATTAAAGAAGCCGTTGTTGGCAGGCGGAGCATGTTAAGTTAAGAGACGAAAACTACTCCCGTAAATCACACTTTCCACCTCATTTTCTGTCCCTCAAGCCTTGAAAGGACAAGCTACTCGAAATGAAGCGCGAACCATCGAGTTTGGATTCGACTTTGAGTTAGATTTCAAATTACCAATCAAGTTGAACTTCTGTTGAAGGAAAAATATTTTTTGGCCAACTGGGAACTGAATAAGTAATCATAATTATTACTTCTCACTGTCGATTAGATTAAGGAGGGTGTCATGATACTTCAGACCTTAAACAATCAAAACTCAGATCTAGAAAATCTGAGACACCTAACTCCTTCTTTGCGCGATTACAAATTTACTCTGCTCAACGATTTAAAACGTGCAAGATAGCACGGTTATGAATGACATCTTTTCAATGATATTTTTAGTAGAAAGAAAAAAGCAGATCACAATACATAATTGGCTCTTGTTCGCGAAATGAAATGAAACACTATGTCTGGTGAAATTTGTTTACTAAATGTCTATCATTGAATGTGCAACACAGTTCACAACACAGTGACCGGATGCGCGCGTTACCTTTGTAATAATTTCAATAATTTATTCATAACCATATCATGTCACAAAGATTGGATACTTCTAAAATGTATGGCTGACAAAAAACTGCACTAATAAATTGGTTGAGGACCGTAGATGACGAAGGTGGAGATGGCCTAATGGTGACCACAATACAAAATATCCAAAAACAAAAACTGAAACGTACTTTGTAAGACATTAATTTTCTGAGATAAAAATGGATTAAACTTTATTTGAGATATCATTCTCAGTTATAATTGAGTAGCTCCTGTTTAAATGGTCGTTCCATACGGATGGAAGACAGTACAAACAGGTCGTTGGCAAAGGTTTACCACGAATGACTAACAGTGGTTACCGCTTAATCATGGAGGTGAAAATTACAGCAACTAACGGGAACAAAACTTTCGGGGTTTTCACATCCTACCTCTTACTACAGGTTCCACCGTATCTATAAACGTTACCACAACTCGAAGTGTAACTCGAAATCCTACTCAAACTCGAACCCAAACTAGAATATAAACTCGAGCACACCTCACGCTTACAATTCAAATGCCAGAGGGGGTGTTAGCGCAAATGTTACCATTAGTTCTGAAATCGTAACAGTAGTAGCAGAAGAAGCAGTAATGATGTAAGATAAGGCTCTCTCTCTTTTAAGCAGATTCATACCAAGCAGAAAACTACCGAATCTCAAACTGATCAATATGTTTAGCAAGCTGGTAAAGCGATGGTCGAAAAATAATTATTTTTTTAGAGAGCATGATTCTCGTTTTCTCTAAATTGATACAGCAAAGAGGCACTTGTTTGTTGTTGGCCTGTTTCTTCTCAAACTGAAGGAAAGAGCATTAGTTCACTTGTAAATTGCATGTGCTTTCGACAGAAGTCTATGAGGTCTATAAATAGTTACCTCGTAAAAAAAATGGGACAGGAAAACCCAAAAGTGAGTTAATGTGCAGGGTATTTGGCAATTTGTTGAGCGAAAAACAAATTAAACTAAAACCAACGTAGCGGTGTGATTTAAACGGGGGACAAGAGTGTACATATCCATACGTTCGACTTTCTTGTTGGAAAAGAACTTTTGGAAGAGCTGAAAACTACAATAAAATAACGACTGGAAAAATTACCTAGTACAGACTTAGCATTGGACATACCTTTTGAATCAGATATTGAAGTAAAGGCCAAGGGCACGCCAAGATATTCTCTCAAAAATCCGCGAAAGAGCAGTTTACGATGGAACCAATGTTAACAGACGTGTGATATGGTCAGTTCTGATCACAACAGAAACCTTGATACATATAAAGGCGTGGCTACAAATCTGTGCTTCCGGTGTCGGTAAGTTCTATTGTTTTAGCCACAATGCACTTCTTTTCAAACAAGT